TGGAGTTGAGACAATTCTGCCTAGCCAAATGAGTAAGAGAAACGTCTTCGTTTAAAACCCTCACCGGTTGATTTATTATTCGCTTATATTAGTTTGATTGTCTACCTCACCTCCTCCTCACCTAGTGTGAATCTGAATTCCTGTCTTCACCGCCTTTTCTGCTTACATATTGATTTTTGCTTGTGTGTTTCCACTTTGGGTGAAACCTGGCTTAGATCATTCACGAAATGCAGGCTTTCTACGTTTTTTTGTGGGTCCAATGGAAAAGCAGTGACATTTATTGAATTCCTTGGTGAACCCTGATTCCTTTATCCAATTAAAAGAAGTAACGGATTGATAAGCTACTAAAGAATCTTTTTGTCATCTGAACATACCTTGACTGTTTAGGTAAGAAAGTGGTCAAAACACCGAAATGTTACTATGGTCAATTAATTCTAGGCTAGATTTGTTTCCGTAAATAATACCATGTAACGTAATACTATAGTAAGTAATCAAACTGGCATCAAATTGCTCAGATGTTATAGAACTAGTCAGGTTTTAAATCACTGGCATGTTTGTGTATCGCAGTTACATGCACCAATATGAATGATATGTATTAACAATGACTTCAAAAGCTTTAAGAACTACGCGCATATGTTCAAACTTATCAAACTCAATGAAACATTAAAATAAATCGGTTTATGTTATCTATGTTCTCACACTCGGAGCTACCTTAAAACATAGCAACCTGAATAGTTATTCAAAATCGGTTGAAAACAAAAATAATTAGAGCCAACATCTGTTTCCGAAAGTCCACATACATGATGTTATTATTTCAGAGATCGATAATGAAAAAGTGAGGGAAACTGTGATAACATGAAAAATGTAAAACAGCATGATTAAACAAATAAATGTTCTAATCATCACTTAGTCTTATCACATCGTCATAACAAACGTGTTTCATTTACTTCCCTTACAGTCTAACATTACTTAATCGGTTCATTAGTTTTTACTAGCCTTTATCGACTACTTCCACCTGAACATTGTTTTTTGTATTCGTGCTGTTTTTCATTATTCGTGTTATCACAGATTGCCTCACTTTTTCAGACTTATCATTGATAAGAACATTTTAATTAATAATATATATATATTCTAGTTGCACTCATAATTCTGTTAATTAATTTAGCTATTTGCCGGTTGCTTTTAGTATAGTAATGGTGATGGTATGGGAAACCAAAAGGTAATTACTTAATATTTTAATGAAGAGAACTCAGGCACGCAACATGAATGAAGGTGCAGTTAATCATGGCCAGATAAATGGGAACACCTGTTTGAACTCGAATAATGAATCATACCGTTATGTGCACCTGTATACTAGATGAGTAACCTAAATAGACAAGTCTATATGACTAGTTGTTTCTCCAACTCATTGACTATATAAACTTAGTAATAGTCTCAAATCAACTCGTCTCCGTTGATATTGGCACATTGTCTCGATTCACATTGATTCTTCTGTAGACATTTCAGTTTTTCATCACGTCTTGAGAATTTCATCAACCAACGATCAATTTTGAAATAAATCCGAAGCCTACAAATTAACTTTCGAAAATTAATCTGATGCACACTAGTGACTGAATACAGGAGGAAGTTGTTTAGAGTTCTAGTGAGAGGTCGTAATCAGCGGGGTCCACCACGACTGGGTGTTAGAACAAATACTCTCTGACTACATTGGCTGACTGTCACACTAATGTCGCTAGCTGACAGACATAAGAATTCATCAGCTATTGAATTTCGTCCCGTGACTGAATAAATGAATGAGTTTGCCTCGTTATCTGAAACTTTAGTCTGTTGGAAATATCAGACTACGGCGAAACTAATGTTCAATAATCCTTGGTTTTCATTGACTGTCTAACTGATATGAATGCCTGATCAGACTAGAAATTCATCTGTGTTGATTCATTAAAAGTGTTTGTTTCTACCTGTGAACTAATTTTAGATGTTTCTAGTAAACATTGATCCCAGTTATTTTCTCTAGAAATTTTATTTGATCAACGTGTCTACGATGTATTGGACGACCACCTTAATCAGTGATTTCTGTCATTCTATTCCCATTCACAATCTTTGAAGAGCATTATTTCGGAAGTAGTTAAGCTTCGAAACCCACTTGTTGAATATCATTTTTTGAAAAGCAAGGATGGAGTCTATCTTGTGGTAGTGTGGGGGATGCTTCTGGATACTCTAATGAGAAGTTGTCCACCTTGCTGTTGAGTTCTGCGAATGTATTAAGTCTTACACAGCTTTCCTACCGTTTTTGAATGTTTTGATCAAGTTCTCTACAATACCATTAGGACATGGATGACGGGGTGTAGTCTTTAAATGTCTACAACCAGTAACCTACAACCCTCTCGCCATTTACATCTAGCAGAACAGTATTCGATTATCTGTAAATAAAAGTTGATGTTTACCCTCTTGACTAAAGCATTCCACCAGCATTTTCTTCGTTATTCTGTATCTGCGATGTTACCTGTGTCAGAAACACTTCAGGTATACTAAGAAAACATTCGAAGCTAGAACTATAACCACCGTAGACAGAGAAAATCCTAAATATGATTGTTCGTGGACTCGAAATATAGATTTCGAAGGTTTGTTTAAATCATGTACGCACCGCGAGCTAATCGATTATCATGCTCACAGACATCTTTAACAGACACAATTATGACAATGTGATTTGCCTTCATACTCTGTTGGACTTTTATCACCTGATTTGAACGAGCCTGAAATATAACAACAGAACGTTTTAAAAATAAGCTCAAGAAATGACAGTAAAATAGCCCCCACAATGTTGTTATTGAGATTAAAGATCCAAACTTTTTATCTAGTGGATCAGTCTTAAAAAGATGTTTTTAAATCAAATAATGAATTGCATACAACCTGTCGTTCATCTGTCGTAACGGAATATTCATTCACTCTACAATTAACGGTAATCCTCAAGTCATCACAAATGTTTGGTGTTGCTCCACCCATTTGTAGTACTGTCGTCATAGAAGTAGGCCAAAGCGGGCTACTGACTTGTTGAATTACATCATCTTCTTTCAGTTTATTCAAGTCTAGTGGAACAGGTTGCCCAAAGACCATATGGATTTATTAATCTTTTGAGGATTGAAGGTATAAACTTCTGGTTGTAGATGCTGTTGTTCTACTTCAATCCATCTTGATAGATGTAGCTGTTAAACTCTTAATGTAATCCTCCAGTTGACTATTATTAGGAATTCGCTCTTGATCATTTCGACGTTATGATGTGGATAAGCACAATAATAATTATTATTACTTCTTTGGATTTATACCTGGAAAAAGGGAATCAGAAACAAATTTCTATTTCGCTTCTGTTTCATGCAGATTCTCTACTTGGTTCCACGACTACTCATAAGCTTTTGTCATCCCCTCACACGATTTCCTTTGGGTCAAACATACACGAATCTACGCTAAAGCTATCATTTCCCATTCGAGTTCCACTTGGGATGTTAATCAGTGCTCGTATAATTCATCTCCATTCCATTCTATATATTTGCTGGACAATAGGCTGTTAGTTGATTTGTCGTCACAGATTCGTGTTGAATGGCTTTCTGGCAAGTCATGTGATCCTGAGCGGAATTGTCTTCAGATAAAAGCCTACAACATATTGGGAATGATTTCGGTGACGCACTAAATCTCTTAATCCCATAGAAACACTGATTGACTTGACACTGTATTTGAAAATTTCTGATCTTTTTGTTTTATTCTAAGTTCAGTAGATTTCCACATTGATTTCAGAGTAATCATGCTTCCTCTTGCTTTTCATATGCTGGTCAACTTTGATATCCTGTAGTGGAAACAATTCTGCTTAATCAGGTAAATGAGGGAGGACAAGCATAAGGATACACTTTATTTGTTCATAGCAGTAAGACAAAGTGTACATGGATTGTTTTCCGTAATGAGGAAGGTTACTGTTTGTCAAGCTGAGCTATAGGTATTGACTAACAAGCCAACTACTCCCAGGAGGATTGGTCGGTGACTTATATATTTTTATAAAGTGAAACAGATATCTTCACCATCTCAGTAGTTGGTGCAATTCTCTTTGCATTCACTAGACAGAAATGATGACTTCCTGAATGCAACATAAAATCTGAATATATGCCCAATACAGCTGGCGTCGAAATGTTTGATTTGATGAGATTTAATTGGTCTCAAGTTAAATCATGAACTGACATCGATCGAAGAACTACTGAAAACGGTAGGGAAACCGGACAGCCGTCTAATCCTAGTGTGGGATTCTTCACCCATGACCACAGTGGTGATCGAACGCAGAAGCTTTGAGTTACAAAGCCTCATTTCTGATCATTTATTCAACTGGACGAAATCAAAAGGTCCATGAATCCTAATATATTCCACTTCAGCATTTATAGTGCCATTATCCGCACACAAGTTTCAACAAAACAAGAACAACATAATTCAGCAGTACCGTCAAGCATTGTTCAAAAGGAAGTCACCTTGAAAGATTGGCAATTATTGTAAAACAAAGCTACTCAGTTAGGTTTTGTGAATATTGGTAAGGGAGGATCAGCAGTACATCAGCCTGGAATTTAACCTGCACCTCGTTCTGACTAGTGACAATTATAACACTAAATCAACGACACAATTTGATTGAAAACGACTAAGTTTAGAAATGCATACATGTTCCTTTCAATTACCAACTGTTACATATTTTGGATTAGATACGATTTAAAGAAAATAGGTCATACAATTTTTCCCATCATGTATGAAAATGAACTCTGGTCATCATTAAAGATTAACATTGATCAATCAGTTGGAATTAACCTCATGCGATTTACCTGAAAGACCAAAGCCTGATTGACAAGTCAACAATCCACCTATTAATCTTCTTAGCGCGTATATATATACACGGGTTGAAGTGCCTTATGACTGTCAAACGAACAAAGCGTTTAATTCGGAAAACACTCAAAGTGAAGAAGAGCTCTTCAGAAATGCCTTCCACTTACCACACTTCACTATTCATATCATGCCTATGCTTGTTCTCGGTTTCGTGTGTTGGTGGGTTGATGAACGATACACTGAGAAACTTGTTGCTGACTCTTCACAATAATGCAAGAGATGATGTTCGAAGTGGATCGCTTAGTGGACAGCCAAAGGCTATTTCTATCAAACACGTGGTAAGTCGAGCGTTTAAATACGATCTCTGTTTTGAGTATTTTTCCGAATGTTGTATATCATGTGTTTCTCTGTTGAACTATTGGAAACAGTGGAGTGAGAATACTCAGGTGATTCCAGAACATCGACAGTGATGACAGGTATCCACCAGTTGAACGAAGATAAGAATATGTGAGCCACTGGATGTCTTCTAACTAGTTGGATGGCTAACACGCTGTCTTATTAAATTGAAAGTTTTCCGATTGTGGTCACTGGTGGAGTGCTGTTGGCATAACACCGATCAGTCTCAAACTAGTTTGCACATCCAGAAACATAATACTGCTGGCCGTTTGAGGTTTCCTCTAGATGCGCGTATTGGTTGAAGATACTGTCATGTAGCTATGTGAACTGGTTACGCCCTTAACTTACTTAAAGTAAAGTGAGAAATCACACGATACTGTAAGTGTTTATGTTCCGAATGCTTCTTTTTGAATTGCATGCAATCTCTTTTGTGGTATTCGTCAGAAATACAACATGGAGTTGGAAAAGAAAGCACAGAATTTATCTGATCAATGTCGTGTTGGACATGACACAGACTCAGAGCGTAAAGTTCCTCCATTCACATATGTTGGACAGAATTGGGTGGGTGCAGCAACAGTCGAACTGTAAGATAATCAGTATTTAATTAAATTAATCTTTCATATTTACCATGTTTCATAGCTTTTTCGCTTATTACACAAACCTGAGAAAATTAATTATTTTCGTCGCATATATAACGATATTTCAGATGATGTCACCTTCATTTATTCGTAGTTATTTTGTGTCTCCGGTCGATTGATTTCTATGAGATGAACATGGTCAGTGTCGGTTGATTTTCAGGTTGTGGTGATTCGACGATATCTTGAGATTGACACAGTGTAATTTGATTGATGATGGCTGACAGGAGGATACAGGAGGCAGATATCCTCCTGTTTCTCGCTTGTCAGCTAGATGCCCCTAGATGTCAAACAAGTGGTGCTTTCCTCATACAGATGATCTCAATGGAGATGCATCTGCATCTAGTTGATGATTCGAAAAGAAGGAGAACTGAGTATGATGTATATCGTGTCACATGGAATGGGTTGTTTTGAACACGATTCAGATAATTATCTGAGTGAATGATAAATATACTGAATGGGAGTAATACTAAGTTGTATACTTCGAGGCTTGTGAGATGACGCGAATTTGAGAAATCTTTTCATACTTCACGATATAGTTGAACACGCGAGATAAATTACGATTTCTAGGGTGAGAGTGATTTCCTCGTCAGTTGTACTTGTCACCTGAGTATGTGTCAGTAATACAGACAATGTTTGGTGTGTACATGACAATGGCTTCCCATGGAATATTATCATCACAGTAATAATCCTTGTATTTATTGGTGTTAAAGTCATAATACCTGTTCCCACAGTTCAATACTGCACTGAAAACAGGAATTTTATGTGTATTTGAACATTCTATTTCGTGTTGTCCAGTGTAAACCGAAATCACACGGTCAGTGATTGGTTGACAAATATAGAGTGTTTGGATATAAATAGCTGTTTGATCAGCTCAAACTATACCTTGACCGTCTTCTGGTACAATAGCTGTAGCCCATGATGAGTGAAATGGTATAGTGTGCTTAAATGTATGGAACGCTGTCATTCAATTATTTGTAGTTGTCACACATGATTCGCAGATCTATAGAATATCGAGAAGCATCGTTCTCACGTCGATTGCAAAGTGATATCTTATCTCCGCTTATACATGTGATTTGCATGAATTCTGTCCAAGTAATTGATAAGTGATTTGTTATTGTTTTGTTTTTACCATACTTACAATGAAGTGGATTCAATTCATGGTTGAACGAATATAAAAATTATGATTTCTATGGAAGTTATTGTTTCAATGGTCAATGCAATAAATATACACAGGTAAGCAACTGTACAATGATGAACCCGTGTGACATACCACACAGTTTGTTGGTAGAGTAAATATCATTGGGCCAATAGCAGATAATATTACAGAAATAAATCAGTAGGATTTGTGTGAATGTCTTCACAAATGTAATCCACATACAATTTGTGATACAAGGTTTTGTTCTGCTCATAAAAGATGGTGTGGAGAACTTGGATACACGTAGTGCGTCACTGACACAGTGGTACAATGTTCGCCGACCACGAAGGTGATACTGATTTTGGTCCTCGGCCAACGAACGCCTTTATCTCGGGAAGCCAGTAGTAAGACTGGTAAAGAGAGAAGGTTCGGAATGAGGCTATCAACCCCATTCTGTAAAAATTAACACCACTCCTACAGAAAATGCAAGCTTCTCGCTTGAAGCCCTGTGTTCCACTGGGAACGTAAAAGAATAATAGGAATCTTATTTGTAAGGAATATCATAATTTTTATTTGTTAATATTTAGAATTTATTCTTAAATAATATAGTAGTGTACCAATTTCGGGGTAATTAGTGTTGCTCGAATTCCAGGTTGTCATGCTTCCATCTTCCAATGAGGACGCCAAGTTTGAAGCCAGTGGTCTATCGTATGGAAATGAGCACTCTAACACTCAATAACACTCCTAAGGCAGTCTCATTGATTCATACGCAATATCATCGTAAATGTCAGATGGTTGTGAGAATTGGCATGGATAGGAATTAAGTGTTACGATAGTTAACTGGAAGGGGGTGAGTAAGGGAGGCTTTATGGCGATAATACAGACACTGAATCCCGTTTTCACTTGTGTTAACATACAAGCTGACTGAAACACCAACCAACGACCACAACACACCTTGTAAATCCTTGAAATTTTCTTTTCCCATGTCTGTATGTACATGGATTTGTGTAATAGTGTCAGCGGTGTTCAGCGTTTCTTGAGATACATAGTCTGTGATAACAAAATTCTCTTCTCGTGAGACATTCAAGGACTTGGTGATTGGTCGAATGATCACTTAAATTAGCATACATTCTGTGAATAGATGACCAGACCAGTGCTAACGTCAATCGGTTTGACTGCTATTGATTTCTCTTCGAGTAACTATCGTATTCACTGAGAACTCTACTCCTCCTCGTCCACCTCCTCATCTTCCACTTCGGTTTGTTCATTTCAGATCGTTTGGCAGAAAACTACTGATATAGGATGTGGCGTCACTGACTGTCCCTCTGCCCCATTTGGATTGAGTATCGTATGCAATTATGGACCTGGGTAGGTTGTCCCAAACCATATTTCACTCCTATTAGTGAGAACTCGTCTTTGTGTAAATACATTATTTCTAACCTGTTGAATAGTCATTTTCAACGTGATTTACTAATCTCCTGAATACTGTATTTATTTTCAGCGGGAGGTACATCGATCAGTATCCATATGAAACAGACCAGACAGGGAAACTATAATCAGCCTTCCATATCACAAACCTGCTTCAAATACACTCATGTTATTCAAATCTCAGTCCAGAAAGTACTCACTTTATTCACTGTTCAACATTACTTGAAAGATTGTAACATCTAATAACTATTGATTTGTTCATCATGGTGTTCAGGATATCGTATTATCTGTCTGTTTTCCTTTCTGTAATTTTCTTTCAAAAAATGTCATATTTAAATCAAAAGGTTCCTACGATCAATTTTGTTAATTCCTTGATGAGTTGAATGTACTCACACTTGCTTCTTCTTGTTTTTATTGTTGTTGTTGATGTTCTAATTTACCGAAATATATATATATATATATATATATATATATATATATATATATATATATATATTACTTCTCCACAATGTGTTACATCCACACTTATTTCTCTTCATTACATAATGACTAACCAATGATCACCTAACTCCGTTCGATATCTGCTGATATTTCTTTAACGGTATGAAACAGAAATCGCATTCTCTTGTAGCTGAAATAATGTCCGCGTCAACCGTAAAACAAAAGTGTTCTGTATAGTTTGAAACGAATGTATTCTCTTTTCGATTACTGTCGTCGATCACTGAAGGAATTCCATCAAACTTTCATGTGATAGAAAGAAGTATGATGATGGTATTCACTTGCTGATGTGAGCGGATAGTAGAAATTGAAGAACTCAGTTAGTTGTAATCTATATGAGACTGAGTATACGAGAAAATAGTAAAGAAAGATTATTTGAACTCCTAAATATTTTGACTGGGAAACAGTATGATCAGCCCTAAAGCCTCCCTTACTCACTCCTTTCCAGTTAAGTATTCAGATATATAATCGCTACTGAGCCTAATACTCATAACCATCTGACATTTGCAATGATATTGCGTAAGAATCAATGAGGCTGCCTTCGGAGTGTAGTTCAGGCTTAGAGTTCTCGTTTTCCATACCATAGGCCTCTAGCTGCAAACTTGGCGTCCTCATTGGAAGATGGAAGCATGACAACCTGGAATTCGAGCAACACAAATAATCCCTAATTAAGTACACTACTGTATTCCTGAAAAGTAAAATGTCTCACTATTTTCAAATAAAAATTACGGCAATCTCTACAAATAAGATTTCTATTATTCTTTTATGTTCTTAGTGGAACATAAAGCCTCATTGTGAGGATTCCTTGTCATCATTTGCTGAAGTCAGATAGTTTGTCGCCGTTCATGAGGGTGACTGTGATATGTAAATGTGGCTCTCAAACACTCGAAAGCACTATCATGTATCAGTCTGCACTTGCATGTGAAGTCGAAAAATAGGTCGTAGAAACAAGCGACCTGCGATGAATGTGATCGAATTGAGGATAGGGTGGTGTATTCTCACGTGAATCGAGATAGTCACGTTCACAGTTGATTTATCATGATGAGTCATCGAAGGGAAATGCCAAGGCCTGCAGGAATGTGACTACATGTGGTTATTTGTTTAAAACGAAGCTGATTTTGCGACATTGACTAGTCTCAATATGGCAGGTGTTGACTCTGGTTGTGTACAGCTCACTGAATAGAAATTATGCTCCCATCACACACCAGCTGTCGCTTCCTAATATTTTCACAGAACAATCAGACCTTATACATCGATGAAGTCTGGTTCGATTGCTGAATACGGTTTCTGAAAAGTTAGTTTTGTAAGCTTTGGATTTAGTCTTCTGTTATACATGCGTCGTAGGAAGTGCAACAGCTGAAAATGAATTCGAAATGTTTACTCTTTGAAGCAAATAGTTCACTACCCTACCTCTAGAGGCATACCTTGACGATATATCTTCCTCACACGAATTACTACTTTTAAGAAGGAAGAGAAGCAGTTGTGATAAGCGAAAGGAACCAGACTTGCAGTCACAATGTTAGGTGTCTTTAACTTATCTCCATTCTTGTCATTATCAACGTCGAAATTCATCTGATCCAATGTGTCTGAATGACTGATATTCGGTTTATTCGTAGCCTGAGTTTTCTTGATTCCAAGAATATATGGATTGTGTCGCGTCTAGGAATAGATCAAACTGACTAGTGTAAACTGGGTAAATGTAAACAGCCTCATTCCAATATTCATTTCCTGATAGTAAAATCGGCTTTATTGAATTCAACATTATTCACAACACTCGTTTCAATGACTTTACTATCAAGCTATAAATTAGTATAAAAGGTAGAATTTATTTTGAAAGCTATAAGTTTTGAGTTAACATAAACAATATTATTAGCAATGGTGTTAAATGAGATAAACAGTATTTGTAATCACAACCATATTTAAACAGTGTGCGATATCAGTGGGTCTCGTAACATACGAACTTATTCAAATAATCTGTGTAACTTAGAAAGGCGCAAGTAGCATAAACAGAATTACCCGACAAGTGAAACATTATGCAACAGAGTGAGACAAGTCGGTAGATAGATTGACTGAATTTTTAATGTGTGAACTATGCAAACATATACAGTACACTTGAATTTGCCAAATTTTATGGACAATGCGTAAAAGTGGAGAAAGTGAGTCACGTTAATAAAAACTTCAACAAACAAAAATCTACAAGAAAAGAAGCAGTTACGTGAGAATTCATCAAGAATTCGAAGATTTTGATTCTCCACTGAAGTTGTGACAGATCCATGACACTGAGTGATAGAAGCCATCGGAAATCCAGTCAACCAACATGTCTTCTTTTCACGGAAGGGAAAGAAGCCATGGAAACTGTAATGTCTGCACGCTGTAAGACACTAGTTGGGTTTACCAACCAGATTGCTCGAAAAATTAGAAGACATGGCAAAGAAGTCGTGGGAATCTGTGAGTAGATGGAGTGGAATCGGACTATGCGCACTGATAACAGGAATATAGTCAATAACCTACTTCGCTCAAGCAATAGACAACCATGAGAACACTGACTGTATGGTCATTATCATCCACCAACTGCATCCATACGTCGCATGCAATGGAAGCCTATGTGTGGAGATTGACAATTTCTAATACTCTATTGTTTAAATGCTAACTGTTGTTTTTTAATATTTATTGTCTAAATTACTATTTATTCTGCCAAACACAAATTTTGGAATTCTGCCCTCTTCGAGTTGTTTGGTTCTATGTGATTTGGTCATTGCGTAATGTTATTACAAGTAACTGCTACTCGATGCACCCCAAGATCGAAACCTCAGAATTCTGTGTGAGAGGAATGATGGTTACAATTATCCAATGCTATGCACCTACAAATCCATCAGACTTTGTGGCGAGATATTGGCGGACACTCACAGACGACGGAAAGCAGTATTTGACAAGAGATGTGATTTCAGATTTCTAGGAGTTTTATGATTTGTTGAGTGGTGAGTGGCGTAGAATTTATGCTGAAATTGACGTGAGTTTCATCAGATTTGCACGTGGAGATTTGGATGGACTTCACTTCGAACTAGGCTAGGTGACGACACTGTTTGCTCGACGCGTGAACGAGAATTCAGTGAGATATAAGTACAGGTCAGTATCGAGTGCATAGAATTCCGAAGATCAAGTTGAAGGCACTCAAAGTGGCTGGATATAGACCGAAGATTACACTCAACACTGGGAGAATGATGGGTGAATGTTTGAACATATGTGTAGCAGTTCAAGTTGACCTACTTCATGAAGTACACGTAAAGGTTTAGAGAATAAGTTACCCAACCTTCCCATCATCTCTGTGAAACTGTACTATGATACGCTATCGTTCGTGTGTATGAACCACGCATTGATTACAGAGGAAGTACATTTTCGAAGCATTGTGCAGAATGACTTGATACAGGTTGGAGGTTTCAGGAGTTATATGTTGGATTCGTGACCGTTGAGATGCACCCAGTCAGGAGTAGGGATGGATTTCTCACTAATGACATTGAACGGTGGTCGCACTAGAAATCACCAATTGTTGGAAGTAAGAAATAATGGACTGGCCATTGAATCAGTTCGCAGTGTCTGAATGGTATACGAGCCTGCCTGTTGACTATGGAAGCTTTTGGGTTGGAACGTCAATGAGTCCATACTGGCGTGATTCTGTCACTAGGATGAAACAGCTGTCCAGTACTCTCTGGTTTCCACTGGCTCTCTAACTGATAAAATTCCGCAGGCGAATTCCAAAAATAGAGCAAACTCTTATGAGTCAACCCTTGAAAACGAAGTTATATGTTGGGAGGTATGAATTCAGGTTGACTGAAAACATTCTCAAAGGCTCTGTATATCATCGATGCTTTCTTACTCTAAATCCAATATGATGTTTTGAATGTATGTGGATTGAAGCTTCACATAACCCCAACAGTCCACCAGAAATACAACAAACGAATGATAATCATAATAATATTAGCGGTCATGAGAGTTTGTGGAGATTTGATCGGCCAAATAAGAAGAATACA